ATAGCTTTCAAATAATCCATACTTTACTGGTGAAATACCATAAATATGCAACTTTACTAACGTGAGCCATCAACTTTGCACTTGAAATGCTTTTTCTTTAAAAAAAAAATGCAATATATTATAAGCAAATGCAGAAGAGATTGAAAAATAATCACGAACTGTGAAATTTTATTCATGAATATGCATCTATAAATTAGGAACGAGCAATATATTAGATATTTAGATATATTATGGACTTGTTTGAGTGATTTAAATAAGATAAAAAATTATTAACTAATATGAACTAATTAGATGGGTATTTAATAGTACCGTAATTAGATGATTATGAGTAGTCTAATTGGATTATATACTAAATCACATATAATTTTCTATTCTAATACTGGAAGAAAACTAAACACATGTAATTTGAATTGAATTTTATATTTAATCTGAATTTTGTTTGGACATAAAAAATTAAGAAGAGAGAAGGGGATTTAGGGTGCGATTGGATATAAATTGAATAGTAACAAAATCAATCAAAACCTAAATTTAACTCAACTTTAACTCAACCTCAATATCTTCAATATTACCAATATAATTAAATAATATCAACCAATCATTCTTACACATCAAATCAACTTTAATTCACTATTCATCCACTCACATAATTTTAACTAACCATCACTTCCAATCATTTTTCTCATACTTTACATCAAATTAACTTTAATTATTTTATTTAAATATTATTTTAATATATCCACTAACAACTAACCATACCTCTTTTTTTCAAAATTAACTATAGTTAAAAACAAATCAAATAAAAACTAGTTGAATCCATAAACAATCACCCCATTATTACAACAAACTCAGGTTGCTAAATAGAGCTACATTTGTAGATTTAATTAAATGTGACAGCCAAACAAAAAAAAAACCTATCATCTAAGCTTTCTAGTTTCTACTATCATTTTGAAGAAAATAATTGCCAAAAATTCCAACATATTTCAAAGTTTTGACTTGTATGATCAATAAATCATATTGACCAAATTAAGTTTTCAATCACACTATCTAGAACAAGAAGCTACAACCAAATACAATTTAGTTAAAAACACTTTACCATATCAATCAAATTGCTGGAAAATTGGAACATACAATTGTTTGAGATCCATACATATAAGCTTGCTCTGAAAAACATCTGCCAAGAAAAAAAAGCTACATGACAACACAACTCACCTTAGAACTTCATGTGACCCTTTTTCTTTCTCTCTTTGCCCCGATCAACTACCCGCATTTGTGCTCGTTTTTATGATTTCGCTGCCTCAAAAAAAAAAAAAAAAAAAAAAAACGATATTCGGTACTAAAACTACCTTAACAAAATGGGGCTTTTGCCTAATATAAGTAACTATTTACACCGAAGGTAGCATACATCAAAAGTCTAATCTCACCGGAAGTTGTGTTCCTCAAAATTTGGCCAAACTTTGTTGGAAATTCTAGTTTTCGAGCTATTAAAGTAACTTTATCGACGGGAATTTCACAATTGTACCCCTCGTTCTTGAAGTGTGGCTGATATAGAAGCAGATGCTTCTTCCAGAGTTCTTTTCTTTTGCACTGTGTTAAAGGTCTCGATAATATCACCCGTTTCCCAGTTATTAAAATCCTCTATACCAATACCACACTCTAATCCAGCATTTACCTGTCAAAAGTGCAAAAGGGTCGAGGATCTTTAGCATTTAACTTGTGGGAAATTTCAAAACTACCCCTGGAAATGTACCAAAATGCAGGAAACCGTTGAGGAAGTGTTTTTGTAAAACGAAATAAATCACTCTTGAGGGTGCACTTTGCAGAACAAAATCACACGCCGAGAAAGCATTAGGTAAATTTGAAGGATATATGGGTTCTTTTGTAAGTCAGCCAAAAGTCAGGGGCAGTTATATAGTTATACCACGAGTTATACTCCAGGTTAACCTTTATTACCACTTTAAATAAGGGACGTTATTCTAGAAGGGCAAAAATGCATTTTTATCTTGGTTTAACGTCATAGCAATTTTAGTCCCAAGATTCCAACTTTTCGCCTTTTCGTCCTGTGATTAATATTTTGCTGCTATTTCAGTCCTCAAAGGATTGAAATTGCAACAAAATTTTAAATTACATGACTGAAATTTCGATAAAATTTTAAATTACATGACTTAAATTGCTAATAAAAATTTACCTCATTCACAATCTCCTTTACCCGTCTCAAGGAACTAAGTATGCCGGCGTAAACTTCCTTTCGTTTTCTTATTACCCGAATACCACAGTCTTTGACCACTTTACCCTCAGTTACCATGCAACCTGCAACTCGGCCACTGCCACTACTGAACACGGCCCGTACTTCTGCCAAACCTATTGGCACTCGTTCCTGAAAAAAAAAAAGAAAAAGAAGCAAGTAAACGCCATAATTATCCTTCAACAGAAATTACATTTAAATGTACTGGCAGTTTTTAGAAATTTAAACTTTAGGCTGAAATTTAGTGAGCCTTGACCGAAAATTCCCACAGATGATAGAAAACTACGGAAATGCCTTGCACTTCTGCCCATTACGAAAAATTTATTTCAACTTCACAATGAGAAATTTGTAAAAGAACAAACAAATGTCTAGGATATTCGTGTAAATTCAGAAGATAATTGAGTCACTTTCTAGTTAGGTATAATATCGTTTTTATATAAGGCAATAACATCTCCCCAGTCGCATTTTCTCAGCACACGAAGTCCATTTCATTTGAAGTGGGAAAACACAATTTTACTTCTCACAGTTTTTCTTAAATGATGTACTTTCTGAACAGAAAACCAGATAAAATCCAGATTTTTTTCTTTTAAATGAAAATAAAAAATAAAAAATATGAAGGTCAAACCGGGACATAAACATAATACCTCAACAGGATCCAAGAGCCCCTCCATTGCATTTCGCATGTCATCAATAAGTTCGTAGATAACTTTGTACAACCGAATCTCAACATTTTTGCTATCCGCATAGCTCTTAATCGAACCAGATATTTTAGCATTAAATCCAAAAATAATAGCTTTACTTGCCACAGCAAGATCGACATCACTTCTGTTCACATCCCCAGTTGCTTGCAGTAAGAATTTAAGAGTGATGTTATCTTGCGGAAGTACCTGTAGAGCTCGTTTGACAGCCTCAATGGAACCCTAGCCGAGCCGCCCCAAAAAAAAAAAAAATGCTTTGAAGAAGTAATTTATCATAAAAAGAAGATATATGATCGTGAAGAGTTCAAGCCGAAAGTCAATATATGGACGACCAACCTGAACATTGACCTTCAATATGATACTGAGCTGGTGTAAATCTATTCCGGCAGTTTTTCGGGATGAAATAGCAGAAGCATAAGAAGAAAGCGTAACTTTCCCATCACCGGCTTTTGCTGCTATATGCTCGTTCCTCAAATACTCAGCTTGTGATTCTGCTTTTTCTCGAGCAATATCAAGTGAGCCAACAACCTCAAACTCATCACCAGCTAAAGGAACATTATTTAGTCCAATAACCTGCCAACACATGCCAAAAACTCACTGAGAAGCCACTTTTCGATCAAAAAGAAGAATATTAAAAAATCGGTAATTTTGAGAATACCTGTACTGGAATAGATGGCCCAGCTTCATCGACACGTTTTTCGTTATCATCAAACAGAGCCCGAACCTTTTATATTTTCATACGAGGAAAAACTTTCATCACAAGTTCATNATAAATTCCAATCAGTTTCATCTCGTACACAAACCTTTCCGAAAGCTTCACCACAAACTAATATGTCTCCTCTTTTGAGTGTTCCATTTTGTACAATGAATGTAGCTACAGGTCCCTTGGATTTATCCAGACCAGCTTCAATCACTGTTCCTTTAGCATTCCTATTCGGATTCGCTTTCAGTTCTTGCAACTTGAAAAAATTGGAAAACCCAAATTCAGAACCAGTGACAATAACTTATAAGAAAAACAATAAAACTAACAACAAATACCAAGGGACAATAGTACTTTATGGCATTAGATATAATGACTACCTCAGCGAGAAGAATGATGGTTTCCAACAAATCATTGACATTATCCCCTTTAAGAGCACTTATCTGTTTTTTTTTTAAAAAAAAGGCTCGTTAATAACTTAACATCGAAGCAGGAATCAGTCTTTTGTCTTTTTGACACAAATGAAATTCAAAAGTTTTGCTTTTTGTCACCTTAACCATAGGTACATCTCCACCCCATTCTTCAGGCATAAGACCAATTGATGAAAGATCTAGTATGACTCGATCAGGATTAGCTCCATTCTTATCTATCTACATTTTGCGACAAATGTTAATCTTTAAAGAAAAAAAGAAACAAAAGAAATTGGGCAACAAGAACACTTTTGAAGATATACCTTATTTATAGCTACAATAATCGGCACCCCTGCAGCTTTAGCATGAGCAATAGCCTCATTCGTTTGAGGCCTTATCCCATCATCAGCTGCAACTACAATGACAGCTATATCTGTCACCCGAGCTCCACGTGCTCTCATTGCTCCAAATGCCTTCGAGAAAAAAAAATAAATAAATAAATAAATAAATAAATCAGTAATCAATATAACTTTATTAAGGACCAAGTGAATGATTATCAGATATTGATGGAAATGCAGGAGGAACAAAAACAAGAGAATCACATGTGAAATGTCTAAATAGCAACATTACCTCATGTCCAGGGGTATCAAGAAAAATACACGTTTGTTTTTTCCCATCAATAGGTACTTGAACCTTATAAGCCCCAATTCCTTGTGTAATTCCACCAGCTTCACCTGCAGCCACCTAACTCATCGACAAAAGCATATTCAGTTACAGTCTCGGAAAGGACGATTACGAATATTATCCTTCAGAAATTGTCTAATTACGGGGGGAAAAAGGTCCCTTTCTAGCATCACAAGCAATACTCGAGCACTTTCTACTGGATAAACTTTGTAGAGCGGAAATAATACAAGCAGCCACTACTAGTTAATCTCAATAAATTTTTGGAACTTTTGTAATTAGACTAAACCTCAAGGGTTAGGGCAATTTCAGTAATTAACCGAGATCACTTGTCAGCAATTACGTGGTAGCTCATACGGAAATACAGAGTAACCTCAGAAAATAAGGATTAAAAGACCCAAAAACAAGGAGAATGAATATACCTTGCTCTTTCGTAAATAATCCAATAGCGTCGTCTGCGCATGGAAATGCAACCCATTAGCACGAGTTTCACAAAGAACGTAACATTCAGGAAAAAAAAAAAAAAAAATCGATTGTCGTTTTCCCTAACCTTTCCATGATCCACATGTCCCATTATGGTCAAAACAGGAGGCCTCTCTTCTAACTTATCCAAATCTTCCTCGTCGAGAATCTTCTTCTTTTTGGCCATATCCTCCACTCTCAAGGGCACAGCATCGATAACCTCCACCTCATACTCCCTACATACCATCTTCACAATATCCTTACTCAGTTTCTGCACCCCATCAAGCCTAATCCTCATAGAATCCAAATACCCAAGAATCTCGCCTTCACTTACGGCCAAATTGTGAGCCAGCTCATCAGTCAACATGCCTTCCTCATCAACTTCCATTATTTCCACTCTAACTGGGGCAGCTTCCCTTGCCGCCCGTAGCCTAGCGGCCTTCCGGCTTGCCTTACTCCATTTCCTACCTTTTCGCCTTACTTCGGATGTATCCTCTACACAAGCATCATTATTATCGTCATACAAACGCCTGCGAGGTCCTTCGGACGGGCCACCCTTTTTTCGAAACTCGTTTTTGGATCTCAAAATGGGCCCTTTCCCCGGTTTGGGAGGCGCTGAAAAATCGGCCACAGGTTTCTTGGAGGCAAACTTGTCGACTAGAATTGGCTTTCGTTCTATTTTTACTTCTGCCAGGTCACTTTTGCTAGCGACAGGGGGATGATTTGCATCCTTTAAAACAACAGGTTTCTTGTTAGACGGTGGTGAAGCTAAAGAGGGCCTGGATTGTAATTTTGGTTCGACTTTCTGAGGCGGCTGGTGAGGTTGTATAGCAGAAGAAGGTTCCTGTCTTAGAGGTTCTTTGACGACTTTCTGTATAATAGCCACTGGATTTCCCTTACGCCACACACTTTTCATAGTTTTTTTCCTTCGTCTCAACCTTCCCACTGAATTAATGGCTTGACCATTGTTCTCGCTTGCCATTTGATTTACTGAGTGTTTGTTTGAATTTAACGGGCCATTTACCTCTTTACTGGTCTCTAATTTCTCTGCTTTCTCCAAAATGTCACCTAGTGACTCTATCACCTTACTTTTCTCATCTTCCCTGTTGTCACTCAACGTCCCATTTTCGAAACTCCCATTGAGTTTCGATTCTCCCCAAGGCATATCGAGAAGTGGGTCTGCTTTAGACCTCGATTTCAACAATGGCTTTTGCGCTACTCTGATAAATTTATCCATGTCATCAACTCTATTGGTGCTACTACTACTACTACTTCTACTACTACTACTATTACTACTACCTCTATATGTAGAATTATGAGATAAGGGATTCCCCTTCTCGACGTAATTTGCCGGCACGGAATATCTACAAACACCGATATACCTCAAGTGCTTGCATTTCCAAGAACTTTTCGAACGAATCCCATCCCCAGGAAAAAAGAACCTCGTACCCAAACAGAAAGAACCATTGTAATTACCTAAAGAAAACATATTCACACTTCCCAAATTCGCCACGGGAGATAAAGAGGCCATCATTCAAACACTAAAACAACCTCCGCCATTATAAAGCGCCATATGAATATATCTTCTTCTTTCGTTCTTTTTTTTTTTTTCCTTTTTCTTTTTGATGCTATATCAGAATCAAAATTCACGAAAGTTTCAATATGCTACGAAAAGCTCCCAATTCCTGAAAACGCCCTCGAGATTATCAACAATTGCTCGGTATGATACAACAGACTGTATTTCAAGCTACTAATAAAATCCCACTTCGAACAAGCTGTAAATTACACAAATATTGGCCAAAGTTAGCATCTTTACCTGCAAATTACAGTCTGTTACGAAAAGCTCCCAATCCTGAAAATGCCCTCGAGATTATCAACAACTGCTCAATATGACACAACAGACTGTATTTCGAGCTAGTAATAAAAAAAACCCACTTCGGAAAAGCTCTAAAATTGCACAAAAATGAACCAAAGTTACCGCCTTGAGTTAGAATTTCTTGTATTTTCTTAAAAAGTCCCCCTTTTTTCAACTGATGTGAGAGGGAAATAGGAAACAAGAGAGAACTTTGTGGCCGGTGGGATAGGTGAGACCGCTTCTGAAATTTTATGGTAATTTTTCTGCCATTTTCGCATAACAAGACTTTGGCTGAGGTTTGAGGTCCGGTTTATTTTTCTACTAACTATTTTCACTTTCAATCTGATAATTTTTTAATAAATGTACATCATCTCAAATTAAAATGTTATAGGCTTTGTTTGGTAAATGGCTTTTTTTCTGGTCTTTAGCTGTTTGATCATCTAAAACAGCTAAAAAAATTGTTTGGTAAATCAACTGTTTAAAATGGCTTTTTGAAAGAAAAAGCTGATATTAGAAACACGCAATTGGCAGCGTTTGAAGTTGGCTTTTAGCTGTGCAATTATTTATGTTGTATAATTAATTAATTATTCACTCAAATGGATAACTAGTAGCATGTTTGTTTATGAAATTTTTCAAAAAATTTCTAACATTTTAACTCAATCATTTTTTTTAACTCAACTCCACTATCATCAAAATTATCAATATAATTAAATAATATCATTCAATCATTCATACACACCACATCAACATTAATTCACTATTCATCCACTTACATTATTTTAACTAACCATCACTTCAAATCTCTCTCTCCTACTTTTACATCAAATTAATTTTAATTAACATCAAATCAATTTTAATTTTTTTATTTTAAATATTATTTAATATACCCACTAACAACTAACTATACCACATTTTTCAAAATTAACCAAACTAAATCAAAAAATCCAAACAAAACCAAAAATTTTTATAAACAAACATGCTCTAAGTTGGGATGCATAGGAGGAAAATAAATAAATAAATAAAAGGAGACAAATGGATGGCGCACTGGCGCAGAGAAGGAAATTTAAGATGAAACAAATTGTGAGTCCATTATTTAAGTCATTTCTTCTTTTTGTGATAAAAAAATTATAAACAATTTTGGATAAACATTGTATGGGAAATTCTAACCCTAAATATTCATTTTTGTTTAATAACTATTTTGACTACTTATTAATAATATACATAAATTGTAGTTTCTAAAATAATTATAATTGCTAAAAATATCAAAATACACAAACATAAGTAATTTTACACATAAAAAATATCAAAACGCTAATTTACCAAACACTTTTTGTAATAATCCGAAAATGTACAAGTTAGTCAAAACAGCTAATCTAATCCGCTGGTCAAAACAACTAATAGAATTCGCTAACAGTTAAAAATATAAAATAAAGTTAAATATTTTTATTAAAAAACATGCATGGAGAATTACATGTTTAATAGTTGAAAATAAATCTCTTTAATTTTTGTTAAAAGTTGTACTTGGCTATTAGCCGATAGAAATTAATTAATTGTATTAGTTAATAGTTAATAGCTGATTCCACTAATCGGTTTGATTAGCAGATTGCATATCTATTTTATTTTTATGTCTACATTTATTCTGCAAACTATCTTCTCTCAAAATAATTTTATATAGAGTTTTTTCATAATCAGNAAGCTAATTAAACTTATTTATCAAACAAACTAATTAGTGCTTTAAGACATATCTTTACCAAGCTAATTTTCACCAAAGATTCCAAACAGGGTCAATGTATACGAAGCATATTCGTTTAAATATTCTAAAAATGCTACAATTTAAAATTTTAAAAAATAATGATTTATTGCATAATTTGTTTGGTTTTGTAAATTTTAATTTTATTTCACACATAAAATATATATGTGATTTTATCTTAAATTTCATTTATAGATTCAATTTTTTCAAGATCAATAACTGAATAATTTTTTTTAAGAAAATATCAAATTTAAAAACACTTTAAAATAACAATCAAAGTCTCGAATACACCCTAGATTTCATCACCATTAAAAAAAAAAGAATAATATCACTTAAGGCTTGTTTGGAAACACTTATTGAGAAGTCCATTTTAAAATGAACTTTTTAAAAAGTGATTTCTCGAGAAGTTTTTAATGTAAACTTCTTTGAAATTGACTTCTTATGGGAGTTACTTTTTTAAAAGTCCATTTTGTTATTTGCACCAAACATCTTTTTATATAGGAAATGGACTTTTATAGTCAAAAGTCCATTACAAAAGTGCATCAAAACATACACTTAATAATTTACGGGCACATTTTTTAAAGTCAGTTTTCTATTTTGTTTGGATCGGTTAAAATCAAATCTATACTTATATAAAAAGCTATCTCATTTACTAGAATTAGTAGGAAGAACAGTCAACTCATAATTAATTGCGCACTATATTTATAAAATTTTAGATATTTTAAATCATAAAATAGGGTACCATTTAATGCCCCTAAAATTATGGTTTTTGTTGAATTCATTTTTTAAAATATCAACAGATATTGAAGTGAATATGAAATTCAAAATCTCTTCTCATTTTATTTTTAATAAAATATGCATCCAAATTTACATTTGGTTTTGAATTGAAAATTTGAAATTCAAAATCTCTTCTCATTTTAGTTACAAGAAAATCAGGCTGCATTCAACACTTTGACCAATTTAAAAATTATTCCATAAATGAAGGAATTTATAGATAATTGTTATATCTACTCAATCACATGATTATTTTCAATATAAAAAGAGACAGATTGCAAATTAGTGAATCATATATTACCTAATTCAATATCTTAACATTAAAGAATAAATCCATAGTATTATGTAAATCCGTATCTTATATTATTATATCATTAAGAATATATTATAGTTATATTATCAAATCATAAAAAGATATTTATTGTAATAAAAAATAATTCATATAAATTTATAATATTTCCACTACACTATTTAATAATATTCTTTTTTATTATATAATAAAATAATAATTGTTATATAGTCAACAATAATAAGTAAAACTGCTACTTTCTCTTATATCAAGGGATAAATTTATATGCTAAAATTAAATTTTTAATAGTATAAATATTTTAGCGAGATAATATATTAATTATTTTACAAGTTAGCCTAACATGCTCATATCTAATATTCTGGCAAAAAAAACAACGTTGGTTAAAAAATATGGAAAAAAACTTATAATAAGCCTATTATTTTTTAGACGTAACATTAAAAGATATCTGGAAGGAGATAGTTTTTTCTCTAGTCAAATGTGGGTCGATTTTCAGGGAAGCCCACTTGAGCAATTTTCCTCACTATCTTTTTCTGTCTGTGCCCGCTCTTGCTTGATTTACCTTATTTCTTCCTTTACTTATGATGAATGGTGATAAGGAAGATCAATTTGATTTTTTTTAGTATGCTTTCAATACTTACCCTGACCCAGCCACTAAGCTCTAGCTTCGGCCGATCCTTCGTCATATGCTTAGTAAACTCTTGCTACGAAGCTACTTTTCTCTGACCCGAGGGTCCGAAGGAGGAATCATCTAAGTACTGGATTCTCTTTCGGATAGGCCCTATGGAAAAAAACTTATAATAAGCCTATTATTTTTTAGACGTAACGTTCGTTAAAAGATATGGAAAAAAACTTATAATAAGCCTATTATTTTTTAGGCGTAACGTTGATTAAAAGAGGTAGAAAATAGATAATAATAACCTATTATGTTTTAGACTTAAACAAACAAGGGTGAAAATAATTCATTTAATATTTTTACTAGTTTTTATTTAAACCTTGAGTAAGCAAATTGAGGCAAAACCCTAAACCCTTTTGCTCTACGACCTGAAAACCTAATCCGTACTCTTAGCATCATACCTCAACCAAACAATGGATCCTCAGCCGGAGCCCGTCAGCTATATCTGTGGAGGTATTATTTGCTTCAATTATGAGCCAAAACTCATTACTCGATTGAAAATCCGAGTCATTTTTTTCCTTAATTGGTATGCGCGTGTTTGATTGTGTGTGCATATCTTGTTTTGGTGCTTAGATTGCGGTCAAGAGAACACTTTGAAGCAAGGGGATGTGATTCAGTGCCGTGAATGCGGTTATCGTATTCTCTACAAGAAGCGTACCCGCCGGAGTAATTATTTCTTAACTTTTTTTTTTTCCTTTTTTGAGCTTTCTCGTTTTTCTGTATTTTAATTCCTCGAAATTCTGTTTTCTGGTTTCATAATTTTCTGGGTTTTTCATTTTTTCATGTTATATGCTGTTTTCTTTGTCTGAATGTTGAGCTTAGATTGATGGATTAGCCAATTTATTGTTTTAGCCCGTGATGAACTGAGTTGAAGTGTGCTCCTATTGATGGTCTCTGTATTTTTTGTTTTATTGATTTTCCGACATAATCGGCACTGTTATTTTGTTATACATTCTCGTGATTATACGGTTGACATCACTTTTGTGACCTGTATATTATTTCTTATCATTTGGTGTACTGATTTAGAGCATTGTCTTTGCTTCTGTTTGCTAAGAGGGTGCACCGATAAATATGTTCTTCTATTGCATATTATTGTAGTTTAAAAAGTATTATTAGCTTGGTGAGTTTTATCTTTGGACGATTTAGTGTTTTTAGTTTAAAGAATACTATTAGCTTGATGAGATTTAACCCGATTGTGAAAAATATTCTAAACGGCTGTTTCCTTCATCTTCAATTTCGTTCCGTGCAGTTGTTCAATATGAAGCCCGTTGAAGCTGTTTTCAAGGTCCATGACTCCATGTAGCCCAAATATGATGATGAGGCTCCACTGTAATTTTACATTTTGTGTTGAATATTGGTGTTACTACTCTGAGTTTTCATGAGTAAACCTTGCTACTGCTTTGCTAAGATATGTTCTCTTGTTCGTTTGTGAACTGCCCGTTCTGGAATTATATATTCTGCACGGCAAATTGTTTGTTATAATGGCAATTGTTTGATAATTCCCTTTATACGAGTTTTAAATGTATGAAATTTTAGAGTGGAAGTATAGATTTGTTGAGAAAGTATGATTATCTAATAGTTAGCCATTATTGGTAGGACATATACCTAGCCGAATTCGAGCTGAGCCAGACTCGTTTAATTTAACAGCACTAATTCGCTACTGTCTGCATTTTACTTGCACGTCGGAATTTTCACTGTTCAATCATTCATCAGAACTGATGAGATGCTATCTCTTTATTAAATTGAGATGGGATTAATATCAAGTGACAATGAGTGGAAGAAAAATCCCTGAATTTTGCTCCATTAGCAGAGGTTAGTCGGACCCTCATAATTGACAGCAAAAAAACATGTGCTCTATAAAACATTCAACGAATTGTGTTGATTAAGTCATTTTCTCAATTTCCACTTCTCTACTATTTTGTAGGTTCAAAAGCAATTTACTTGAATCATTAAAAAAATGGCGATTTTCGGTAACAAAATTGTATTAAAAATTTTGTAGTTCGGGAATAAGATTTGTGCGTTTACAAATATGTTTGGCGGTAAGCTCATGAAAGATTGGCTCATTTATCAAATTTGTAATAGAAAATTTGTAGTTTTGGGATACGATTTGTGGGTTTACGAATATGTTTGGCTTGATTGTTTTTTTGAAACTTATAAAAAATAATATAAGAAAGTAAACAAACATTTTAATTTGAGTTATTTATAAGTGATTGAATGAGTCAAAATCGAGTTTTCAATAATCAAACAAACTGTGTGAAATAACAACTATTAAAGAATTAAATAGGGTATAAATTTATTTATACGGTTTCTTGCTCGAATCATTTAAGACCATAATTATTTTGGTAGATGGAGAGAGACATTATTGTGTGATTGTGAATCTTAGCCGATAGTATTATTATCTTTGTACTATTTGCGATTTGTGAAAATTCAACGTATTCATTTTCTTCAACCAAAGTTCAGAGAGAGTGTGAATCACCATTGAGCGTTTGGATAAAAGGACGAACTTTTTCTCTAAATCGCCCCTGATAATCTTCTCCACAAATCTTGTAAATCTTTTCTTCTGTGCAAGTGCAAGAGAAGGCAAGGAGAAAAAGAGGATCAGTTATGAGTGAAGAAAAAAGGGAAACCCATCACCACCACGAGCAGCCCTATCCGCCGCCGTACGGAACCTTCCAGGGCGTCGCCAACCACCCGCCGCCGACGGCGATAGGCTTTCCTCAGCCTGTTCCGCCGCCTGGAGCTTCCGGTGCCCCGCCACCGCCTCAGTACTATGCTCACGGTTATCAAGCTGTCCCAGGTACATTACCCGCCTATTTTTTGGCTAAATGAGTAAACCAAGTTAAGAAAGATTTCATCTTTGTACGTAATCTGCTAGGCTCTTTGATTATTTGGGGGTTTCCTTTGTGGAGTTGTTCAAAACTCAAAAGGGCAAACAAAATAAAGTAAAATTGAAGCAGTGAGTTGAACTCATGTTCTGTACTGTAATTATTTTGAGAAACACGGGGATAAAATATTTTGGGATTCTATATATTATCTTGATCAGCAGCTATTTGTGGATGTTGGCGTTTTATTCCGTTGCCAAGTGTGAAAGGGGAAGTGATCAATTGTATATAGCCCTTTGCAGATCTTAGCAAGATTTATGTTTTTGAGACATTTGGAACCTAAATGTTGATCTTGATATTAATCCCAGGACAAAGTTAGTGCATTTGAAGTTCGGGTGATGTTAAAATTGTACTTTTGTGCTAAATCCAATATCGGATTGAAATACTTTCTGATATAAAAGATGAAAATATGATTCTTACAAAAAGATCATGCCTTGGGTTTTGTGGGGGCAATTTGATGTAATTGTTGGTCTTTATATTAATCCCAGGACAAAGTTAGAGAATTTGAAGTTCAGATGATGTTAAAATTGTACTTTTGTGCTAAATCCGATATCGGATTGAAATACATTCCGATAAAAAAGATGAAATGTGATGCTTACAAAAAGATCATGCCTTTGGTTTTGTGGGGGCAATTTGATGTATAAATCTGTAATCTTTCCTGTTTTAATCCATAATTTCGCAATTCATAGTGGATATTTTAGTGAAAAATGGTGCAGTTTATAGTGTTGCAGAAGGAAGACCCGTAAGGGAACGCCGCCTTCCTTGCTGTGGCATTGGCATCGGCTGGTTCTTGTAAGCTTCTTTAAGACATAACTTCTTTTTCATGATATTGTGCTAATTATTTCTCTATAATTTAATTGCATTTATGCTTTTTTACTGAAGTTTACTCGAGGGTTTGGTTGTGTGCTTTAACAGATTAATAGTAAAGAATGTTCAGTCCAGCCAAAGTCAATGTATATAGAACCACCACAAAGAGAAATGCTATAAGTACATAATACTATACATAGAGGTGTACATAACACTCACATTAAGTGGGTCCTACCAAAAATAAAAAATCAAGTAGACCCTACTCCATGTGAATGTTATGTACACCTCTATGTACATTTATTATGTACTTGTAGCATTTTTCATTAAATAATATGAGATGAAAGTATCTGAATTCCAAATATTTTTCCGTTTTTTTGTGATTCTAGTGAATCCGAGTATGCATATATTCTTAATGAACTGCTGGCTGGTTAAAGTTTTATTGGGGAGGAGTTGATTATTTTATTTATCTATTTATCTTCTTTTGGAAGCTTTACAGCTTTCTTAATAGGTGGCTGATGCCCTATGAGATGTTTAGTCATGAGAACATATATTCTAAACATTCTATCGCTTGGCTTGAAAATATTGATTCCTGCAAGTTGTACAATAATGTACATAAAGTAANTATGTGATGTATTAAATAAGTATGAGATCAAATGAGCTGCTAAAAAATATTATTCTCTTGTACTTCTGTTTAAGGTTCATTATTGGATTCTTCCTGGCTGCAATTCCATGGTATGTTGCAGCAGTGCTTCTCTTGTGTTCAAGAATCGATCCTCGTGAGAAACCGGGATATGTTGCTTGCGCTATTGCTGTAAGCATTCTCCTAAATTTTTGTCAATCGAAGCTACAATTTTTTATCAATTCCTCTGATATGAGGTTACTTATAATTATGCAATCCATGATTTCGTTCTATTTTGGGCTCGTAAAAAAGTGAAAGACTTGAAACGGTTCACTCAAATTTCAAGACATTTTTTTTTTTTATTCTCCATTCTGATGAAACTTTGCGCATGTGCACAATGCACAGTTGGTTACATTTTCTTTGACCTTTAGGAATACTCATGATTTGCTATTGAACATTTCACGACATGAAGATAATTACAAAGGTCTCATTTATCTTTTAAAAGTTTGAAAGAAACACTTGGAAGTATCGCTTTTATTCCAATAAGAATTTGCCCCCTTTTTGATAAATACCCACTTCAATAGTTGCTATTGTAAAACTAAAACATGTCAGGTGGCTATTTGCAATTTAATAGACATCCATCTTGGTGTGTATATTGTGCACCTGGGAACTAATGAACGATATTTCGGCTGAGAATATTCTCATCATAGATTCACATTTTTTTTTTTTTAAATTATTATCCAATGAAATTGTGTATGTCCATCTTGTTCAGGCTGTGTTAGCCACAATTGCGATTGTGTTTGGGCTGACAAGTATCGATTGACGGGGAAAGATTGAACTCATCTGATAATTTCCCGGAGATTATATTTGTAGTGTTTTTCATACTATTTAAGATAAGCCGACTCTACAATTTTCAGCCGGATAAATTTATCATATTTTCCCGGTTGGAAGCACTGAATACCTTTTTAATGTATACATATATATAATTAAAGAATTTGCAAATACTCCTTGGTTTGAAGAGTGTTGAATGTTGATATCAATCAACTACTGTGAAACATGAATTTTAGCTAGTATTTGTGTATTGTGAAGCATGAATTTTAGTTGATATTTGTGAATTATTGAATAGTGAAGTATATATTCATACATGTACTCAAACTAGCATATCGTTAGAGTTGGCTAAAATGATATGTTATGTCAAAAAGGCAAACACAAATTGTATGATGAGCTAGGCTAACCGTTAGGTTGGCAAACTCATAATACTATTTCAATAAAAGTAAAAAAATGTATTATTATATTGTGAAAAATGATGCTTTTGTCTAATATTTTTTTTTTCCTTTTTAAGTATGGTATAAAAGTGTGCATATTTGCTTAAAATGTATAACTAATTGTCTGTTAGGCCTATAATGTTATAAATATTAGGATGTCAACAATACTATTTAGAATATTATAATATTACTAGTCTTGAGTCTGTGTGCAGAAAAATGGTGATTTGTACAATTTTTATTACCAGAATATTGAACAGGACAATTATTTTCCAGTTTAAAGTGTTACTATTTTGGCACAATCTTTATTATTATTATTGAATAAAGGCAGAAACATTTGTCCTACAATTATTAGTACATAACACTAAAATTGCATGAACATAAAAAAAAATTATGAGCTCACATATAATTGTTACATATGATATTCAGTGTCATGTCACCATGTATCTTAGCTATAGTTTGTTACAGATCAATTAAGCTGCAACATAAATCACTTACGGGATAAAATTAATACCCCATTTGGATATATTAAATTTCACAGAACTTTTATTAATTAATATTAGGAGCATAATAATTGCAAATTCAATTAGTCACATACATAATTAAATTTATGATACCAAATACTTTAGGATGGTCCCCAATCTATCTATATAGCCCTAACATGATACCCAACTGAAGCCATTGACTAAACAACATGGACAACAATTTCAATTTTATCATTTTAGTGTTGTCACAAAAGAGATTTTCGTCTTTTTCTTTCGATTGTTTGTTATTTTATTTTCCACGCACATAGTTTCTCAATAACTACAATCAATTTTGCTTAAAAATATTATTACGAAAGGTATACATTATACATATTATTATTATTATTATTATTATTTGTTTTAGTATCTGATGCTGCAATTGTAACTCATTTTTTTTCCTTTGCTTTATTTTCCCCTCTTTTTTTTTTTTTC